AGGCTCCATGAAAGACATTCTGGGCCCTGTCTGACAGGCACGGGCACACCGCGTCCGTCTACTGTTCCCTTTCCAGGACTCAGACCTCAGCCCGCCCGCCATGGCGGAGAAGAGGCCCCAGGAGAGTCCCGGAGCATTTGAGAGAAGGCGGGAGCACACAGCACCTCGGGCAAAGCATCAGAGAGGGAAGGGCGGGAAAGGTGAGACAGACTGGTCAGCGTTGGCACCACTGCCAGCCCACCCAGTCATTTCGCCCTGCTTCTCTCCAGGACAATGGGACCGGCAGCCGTTCACTGGGTGAAACAGAACCAGGAGCTCCCCGCAGAATCCGGCAGGCTCTCAGACAGGCTGGAGTCGGCTCCTAAAGGTGCATGATGCTCCTTCCGGTAGGTCATCTGTGACTCCACCCGAGACTGCTCAAGTTGGCACGGCCAGTTACTTGGGACCGACATGCAGGCAGGGCCCAGGGACCAAGATACCAGGGTGGCATCGGACTTGAGCAGGCCACGGGTGGCCACGGGTGGCCACGGGTGGGTGGCCAAGCAGGCTCGGAGGGTCCCCAGGTTTATTTTCAAAAGCAGAGGGCAGTGCGTAAGTGCAGCGGGGCGGTGGGGGAGCGCTGGGCAGGGGACGGGAAAGCTGGCTGGCTGTCCACAGATGCCTGCTTCAGTGCTTAGAGGCGAGAGGCGGCGGGACCCCTGCTCAGCCCCGGAGTGGACGGAGGGAGGGACAACTGGACGTCCGTGTCGGGGGTGGTGAGCACGAGCCGGCTCTCCCAGGTGGTAAGCAGGCTCGCAGAAGGCCAAAAACGGAGCTACCAGCTTCTGAGGCGACACGGTCCTGCCCCGCCCCAGCCTCTGAGGTGCCTGTGGACGAGCAGAGCCCACACGGCAACGTCCATGGGGTTGACGTTCTACTACTAAGCTTTGGGCAGGCAGCGGAGGGAGGGCTGAAGTCCCCGGCAGTCTCAGCTGAGTGGTCACTTCCTGGGGCGCGGGGTCTCAGGCTGGAAAGGTGACACACACTGGCCAGTGATCGTTCATGAGGAGACTGACATTGCTTTCTTACCCAGTTGTACAGGGAAGTTACACCGTTACAACAGGTTTCTAAAGCACGCGGCGGTTCGCGCCCACCCTTAGCCATACACTTCGCTGCTACCGTGGCTTGGACCACACCGCCACACGCGTTGTGTCTTTTGCATGTCTTAATCAGCAGGGTGCACATCTGTGGTTCTACGGCTTGGGAACTACAACCCGTGGCTACCGGAGCTTTTCGTGTTCTCTAGGGAGGGTTTACAGGTCTCTCCCCACAGCTGCTGCAGAGACACGTGGTTACTCAGGGTTACACACACGGGCAGCACTGGGGGGGCCCTGAGCACTGTAGCCCCCTCCTGGGGCCCCAGCCCACAGCCACAGGGGCAGACAGGTAGCAGCTATTCATCACCCTCTTTAAAAATAAAAAACGTTAACAGCGCCGATTAATTTGGAATTTGAAACTACTGATGTGTTCCTGACGGTTAACGTTTGGTCAGGTTACTGAGGCCTCAACATGTTTGGCTGTAAGCAGGGTACGCGTTCAGGAGTCCACCTGTAGGAATCCTGCCAACTGAATCAGGTCAAACTGGATACAGGAACCAAACAGAGACAGACGTTAGACCATGTTCATGGTCCTAAAAATGACTGCCAGTTTAGTATGTCACAAAGTGATCTAAAGCTGTTGTTCTGAAATAGCAGATTACCGTAACTTGATACAGCTTTTAGGCAGGTACTTCTCTTACTAGACAGGTACACTTGTTAAGGCAAAACTGCACCGAGAGCAGAACAGCTAGCATTATCGCCTTAACCGCAGAAGCGCTTTCACCTCAGGGACTCCATTTCGTACTGGGGTAGGGTGCTGTGACTGAGACTGGGGTTGACTCCAGTGGTACAGGTAAGTTTCCTAAGAGAACATTCACCGTTACTAAAAGCAGAACTCAATGTAAGTGCTTTCGCTCTGTGCTACTTAGCAAACAGAATTATCATCTGGTTACAACCTTACTTTACTATTTACTTGTGTGACTAAAACCAGGCCAAGTAAGACTTTGAAATAACAACATACATAAACAAGCTACCAGAGCCAAGAGGACTGCGGCGAGGTTCCGCGGCTGGCTCATCAGGAGCCTGCCGGCTGCCGTCCTGCTGTGTGCCGTCCTAGGTGCGCAGAGGTGACACCCAGGTGACGGCGAGAGCCAGGCCACTGGCAGGTACACTGGACGTGCGGCTGGACACGGCAGGAGCCCAGCGGGCCTAATCTCCCCATTTTCCTAGAGAAACTACAGAACTTACTTTTCGAATTCTCAAACTTTGAGATGGTGCCCATAAATTATGTTCTTCAAGGAAACCTATCTGAGAGCGAGTGCAGGCTGCAGTCTGAACCCCCTCTGCTTTCCTAGCTTTGCTCTTCTGTGCAAAGTAGGGTTCTGGACCGAAAATGTCCGTAAGAGGCATCGTCAGATTTAAAATACTGTAATTAAGTGGCCAAAAGGCAGAAAAACCCAGGGTTGTAATTACTGTCCTCTGTAGTCCTGCCTCCAGAAAAACCTGTTTGTTAGAAACAGATTTAATGAAACCTAACTTTAAAAGGCCAAAATTCTGTCAGTCATCTAACCATCAGCCAATAGCTCTTTCTACTAAATAGTCTCATCAGTACGGTCAGAAATACGTCTTTGAATACTGCTGAACAGTTTGATTTTCACATAAACGGGCCTCATAATAAGGCCAATTATCGGCCACTTTATAGATGAGGAAATAAACTCCCGCAGAGGGGTGGGGAGCCAGCACGGGAGTGTGGCTGCCCCAGCTGTGCCACGCGGGGGCGCTGTCTCCCCTGCTCCCGCCCGCAGGTTCCACTCCCACTTCCGACGGGTATCTGAGCTGCGGGGAACTGCGTCAACACAGTGACTCCGGAGCAATACAGAACAAGGGCACCAGTTTCGTATTAAAAATCACAAAGGACCAAATACAGAAAATATCCACCAAAATGTTGGCAGCGTTGGTGTCTGCAGGGGAAAATTCCAGAGCAATTTCAATTCAACGGCTTGGATTTGTTTTGCTGTGAGCAGATATTACTGTTAATTTTTAAAAATTAGCTCCCCACGAAGTTGCGTTGTGTGCTCTGCCGTCAGGTAAAAGTTGTTCTGTGGACCTCCACCGCCAGTCGGACGTTTCAGCTTCCTGACTCTCGCTGGAGAAAACAACAGCCACGCGTGTTTCCTGCAGGAGCTCTTGCCATCCGTCCTGATTTCTGCAGAAGGGCTAAGATGGAAGGATGGATGGAACACACAGAAGACAGATCCAAGCACATTTTAAGCAGGGAAGGAGAAAAGGCCTGAGACTTTCTCCTCCACAGCCACGTTAAGTTTCAGCCCTGACAGAAAAGACATGGTTGCTCTGTAACCACTTTAAGCCAAACACTTAATAAGGGGGAGTTTAGGAAAAGAGGTATTTCATAAAACTGACCTTCTGCCAACTTTAGAAAAGAAGTGTTTTGCTGTTTTGTTTTTTAAGACCAGGTCAGGCTATGTACTTAGACTAGTTTTGAACTCACTATGTAGCCCACTATGTAGCCTTGAACTTGCAACAACCCTCCTGCCTCAGCCTCCCGCGTGCTGGGATTATGAACGTGTGCCTCTATGCTCAGCTTTTTGGTGTAAGAAAACTCTTGCTGTGTCATTCGGACAAGCCTCAAACTCACAGTGATCCTCTTGTCTCAGCCTTAAAAAGTGCTGGGATCACAGGTGTTCCCGCCACACCCAGCATTTCTGCTAATTTTAAATGGATACAAGGAACACAGTTCTCAACGACCTGTCGGGTTTAACAGGGACTGTACTCACAGATTTTTAGGATCTGGAGTCTTAATAGCACTTACATTCACAATTCTTTCAAGAAATCCAGTGGTCACTGGTAAGGTTTACAAACAGGCACTATCGGGAATCTATGGGTGGCAGGTCTCCAGTGCCTTAGGAGTGCCCAATAAAACCCTCCCGCCCGCTGCACAGCGCCTCCAGGAATCGCCCACCAGCCAGCCCCAGCCACTCCCCTCCGGCTGCCTGGCCTCTCCTCTGCCCGCACGCCGGCGGTAGCACTGCCTTGTCTTTTAAGATAAAGCTTCTAATATTTTGCCATTAAGTATCTTGCTTGCAGTGGGCCACTGCCATCCCAACCTGTTACGTTCACTTTACTGAAGAGTTTCATCACAAAGAAATGCTAAGCTGTATCAAGTTATTTTCAGTCGAATGACAGCACTGCTTTCTGTTCAGATCATTCCCCTCAGAAACGTGAACACCAGAAACCCTTCCTTCCTCCCGCCTTTCACAGTAAAATGCTATTTCCCATTCTATGTAACTTAAGCCGAAGAGCCGGGTTCCCCTTCCAGTCCCTCAGCCAACAGCCACCTCTCCCGCCTGCACCGTGGCCCGCGCCCGCCTGCGCCTGGCTGGTGCTCTCCCGGCAGCCGGCAGCTACAGCCAACTCACTACCGCTGTAACTGGGAGGGCTGTACGACTTCTTCGCCGCCCTCACCTGGCCCGGTGCTGTTCTGGGAGAAAATCATGGTGCTGACACCGAGTGTTAAAGGTCCGTGTCCGCTGAATCACACTCTGGACTCCCCTGCCAGCCTCCTGAAGGCACTGCCCCGTCTCACACAGCTGCTGCTTCCCGGAGGCTCGGGGCGGCTCGTGTGCCTCTGCCTCCTAAGCGGGAGGCTCCTGCGGGCGGCGACCAAGCTGTGCTCTTTCCAAAACGAGCCGGCTTAGAGCTCGGAGACCGTGGGCCCCCGTCCCACCCCACCCGAGCGGCACGCGCGGGACCGCGCCCGGGTCCTCAGAGCTGACTGTAAGCATCACCCCATCAACTCCACAAGCGTGGCAGGACAGGGAACGCTTTTCATAATGAATAACGCAAGACGCATCGTTTTACCATGACGGGGCCCCATCTTTAAAGGGACGCGCTGGGAAGAAAAAGTAACTGACAAACAATGCAGTATTTATTTTACACAACTGAACGGGGCACACAGCGAATGAGCTACAAAAATTCCAAGTAATCACCTCTAAAGGAAGTGGTTTCACATATTAATTACTCTGGAAAGTTTCTGAACTCTGTTTAGCAGCAGATCTCCTTTCTTGATGGTTTCTTGGTACTGCCAGTTCTTACTATCCGGTCTATAAATAAATTCAAGAAAAGATGGATTACTTAATGCTTTGAAATGCCCGTCAGGGCGGTCTGACAAACCCCACACAGAACGGAAGTACCTGTTGGTCTCCACCACTTCGTTCACCTTGTCTATTTTGCAGTGCAGCCTCCCCGCGGCGATAAACCGGGACAGCTCCCTGATTCAGAGAAGGGAAATCAGCATGAGCCTCACGGAGAATCCCAGGAACAACACCGCACCGACGCACGACTGTCTGTCAAGGCAAGTTTCCTCTGCAGCCTGAGCTATGCTCGCGCACTGGCTGAGGTGTCCCTGGCGTTCTGGAGGTTTAGGGCCTCTACTCTGACCCTCTGTTCATACCGACCGGACATGTGTGTCAAACAATAGAACTGTCCAGCCATCTTTACAGCTGCCTTAAGAACAGCGTAACTACAGAGATGAGGAGAAAAAAGCTGGTAAACCTATAAACAAATACGCTGTTTCAAACAAAAGACCTGCAACTGCAGGGGCGTTCTGGAGCACAGGGCAAGGCCCTGGGTAACTGCCCTGCTGCAGCATTCGAGTGCACGGAGGGAAACAGACCCGTGGAGAACGCCCGCTGGGAATTTCCAGGCATCACAGGAACTTCAGAGGAGGCCGTTGAGGAACCGAAGCTGCCTGCTCCTCCTCCCTCTAACCCTGGTCTCCGGTCACAAAGCAGCAAGGAGCCATCTGAATCCCACCGCAGCCGCCCGGCATGAAGGCGATGTAAGACCACCACAGCACGTCTGAGGGCCGCGTCCCTGCTTCCCGGCAGCCCTCTGCCCAACCACACGGCTTCCGCAGCCAGAGGGGACAGAACCCGCCATGGCCACGCGGCCGCAGGGCGGAAAAGCACCCGGGCCTGGCTGCTCCCAGCCCTGGCCACCGCAGGCCACTTCTTCCACCAACTCGTGAGAAGCAGTGGTACGTAGCAGCGTCCCGCCAGGATAGTGGTCGCCAGACTTGGACTTCAGACTAGCTCAATTCAGAAACGAAAGAAACCAGGCATACCAGCCTTCTCTTCTGCTAAGTATCATCTAAAAACAACAAAAATTTCATTCAAAGCAAAAAGAGTGCATTTCCCAGGAGAGGTCTGGGCTACACCTCAGACCTGCGCCTGCACTGAGCATAAGCTCCCTCAGGAGGACTCAGAAATACTGAAGAACTGAGGGAGGTACACCCGTGTCTGAAACCTGCTTGGAGCGGTTAACGAGGACAGACGGGATCGGCTAACACAGCAGCGTGCGAAGCCCACCGCACAGCGCCGACTTCTCCGCGCGTGGAATGGCGCATTTAAGTGGCCCTCGGCCTCGCCACAGCCTTCACCCGCACTGCCTGTGCTCTCCGCGGGGCTGCCGCCTGTCGGCCCTGTCAGACGGCCGAAAGGCCGAGCGCTGCACGGCCCGCCCCACGCCCACAAGCTGCCTGGGGGCCCAGTCACAGGCGGGCCACCACTGGTACATGGGAAGGCATTGAGGACCTACGCGCTGCAGTCACTGCTCCCCGTGACAGCACACGCTCCGAGGTCAGCCTACCCCCAGCTCCCACCGCCCCCGTCCAAGCCACCACACCCGTGTCACCGCAGACCACTGGGCTCCGGCGCTGTGATCCGCCTGAGACGCGGCGGGAAACCACACCACTCTAAACTCAAACCCTGCAGTGAGAGCCCGAGCACCAGACTCAAATCCAGCCGCACACCACGCACTCCAGGTCCCGCACGAACAGCCCACCTGCCCAGCTGCGGCCACCCTGTTCGTACCACTCCCGGCGAGGCTGCAGCCACGCCTGCACTTGCTGTCCACCAGGCCCACGCCTGCTCCTGACTCGGGCCTCAGCCTGTGGGTCCCCCTTTCTGCACCACGGGGAGTCCACACGGCGGGCACTGCCCTCAGAGCTCAGAGCAAACGTGAGCTGAGCGGTACCACGCCTCCCACCGCGTGGTCCCCAGGGCGAGATAGCATCTGCTCATCTCTAGGTTCCTTCCTCCTGCAATGACTTTTATACTGGTTTGCTGTTTTAGCAGCTCTCCCCTCTAGCCACAGTGAAGGGGCAGGCCCCAGCCAATGCTGAGCATACAGACTGGCTCAGTACTTGCCGAATCACTTAGCACTCAGGTGCTGAAAGTCCCACATTACCCACCAGTCTGACCAAAACTACAGCAGCAACCGAGACACTGGGAGGAACCGGCACACGCCAAGGAAAAGCCAGCGCTACGGCTGCAGTGTGTCCATGAAATAAGAGATGACTTTTGGTAACGAGACAGCAGCTCAGCTAACTTCTCTATAACCCACTGTGCTTACCTGTCACAGGAAAGCGAGGCTCTGAGGAGGCCAGAGACGACCTGCGTGGCTATTTTGGTGAAATACTTAGGAAAAAAGTTCAACTGCCCCCTTTAAATTGAAGGAAGCAATGCAAATGGGGCACGTGTAGAAATTCATACAGGTAAAAGGCAACTTTACAGCGTACGTTAGGATGGTGCTCTTTAAACTTACTGATCAATGAATTCCACACCGACCCCGAACGCCTCTGCCATGTAGCCAAGGGTCAGTGACCTGTAGGACTCCAGCAGCTGGCTGTAGGCATGGATTCGCATTTCTCGGACATAGTATCGATAATGAGGAGCGAAAAGCCAGTCCTTTTTCATTTCCTGCTCCACGACGGCTGCAACAAGTGAATGAGGAGTTATCAGACCCCCTTTCGGACAGATCGAGGACTGGTCAGCACAGCGCGGGAGACGTGCTAGGAGCTGTGCGGAGCGGGCCGAGGCCGCGCTTAGCATCCTGGGCCAGGCACGGAGACGAGCCCAGGACCGAGCCCAGGACCGTGCCCTGGACCACCAAGCTCTGACGTGACCGGCTCAACCAGGGACTTCCTGTATGCCTCAGTAAAACATTTTTATTCTCTTCTCTTTCTACAACTCTAACACAGAGACGGAAACTACAACGACAAATGAAAACACCAGAAAGAGACACACATCAGGTATTTTCACAAAGTTACAAAACACACGCAATACAGGGAAACAACTGATGAACCCTCCTGCCCGAACATAAGTCGTCTAAGGAAACAACTGCCAGGCCTGAAAACGTATCTGTAATGAAACGAGCTTCGGGGGGCGTGCAGCTCCACGAGGAGCCCTTGCCTTCCACGTGCCTCGCCCGGGCTGCATCCCCAGCACAGTAAAAAAAACCGCAGCACAAAAACAAAATACGCAGCTGCTTTAAAAAACGAAAAAAGAAAAAGTTAATGGACTTAACCTGCAGGAACTCTTATTGGTAAGAAAACAACTGAACAGTAAATTGTTTCTGGTATATTAATGAGCAATCCACACAAACGCAGATTATTTTGCTGGTACATCACTGCTTTAGTGAGGGCGCAACATAAAGCGAAAGGCTAGGTCTAAGCTGCCAAACACTGCTTCAAAGAGCAAAACCGAGGAGTAAGATCATCCCAGGGACACTAAGAAACCCTCTACAAGGACGGACAGGACAGTGACTGGGAGCCTGCGCTCAGCGGGGCGGCCTGGGCAGGCCTGCATGAGGACGCCGGAGCAGCGGGGCGAGGAAGCCCGGCACGGGCACTCAGAACCAAGCGCCAGACGGCAGCATGCGCAGTGGGCGACCTGCCAGGACACAGGCGAGCGAGGGCGTCAAGACACCCCCGGCTGCGACCTGAGCGAGGCAGGGGTCCCCGAGAGCGATCTGGGTGGGGGAGGCGGCAGGGCCTGCGCCTGGGGCTCAGCGAAGTCACAGTCGCTGCGATGGCAGAATGAAGACAGAGGGCGGGGACCCCAGGCCACAGCAGTCAAGTCACAGAAATGTACCGCGGCTGACGACCAAGGCCCAGAGGGGGCAGAAGCCTGTCGTGACAGAGCCAAGGGAACAAGCGGCGAGGACTACGGGACGGGCAACATCGAAGCAGAAATGTCGCCCAAGGGACACGTGACTTGAACACACAGCTCAGCGGGCACCGAACAAGAGACCTGCAGGTTCTCACTGATGAAAGAAACGCAAAACACAGCAAGGAGGTTCTTCCTGTCCTCACACCGGCTTCCAAGTACGGGAGCGGGTGGGGCGGGCTCTCCAGCGCTGGGGAGTGGGAGAATGGTAAACGGTGTGCAGTATTTCTGGAGGGCAGCAGCGGTCAAGATGCATTTATCCCTCACCGAGTTCAGGCCCTTCGCTAAGACACAAGGAGTCCAAACAGCACGGCCTCCAAGAGGGTAACTGGGAACAGCCACAGTTCCCTCAGCAGGGAAAATACTGGCGCATCCCGCGCACTGGCAGACCAGGAGCCCCCGGGAGCGCTCCGCTCGCTCACCCGCACGGCGCACGGCAGCCAGCAGAGCCTCGCTGACCGAAGGCCGACTGCCCTGCCGCGCAGGGACAGAGCACCCTCCGGGCTACACCGAGAGAGAAAACCTGGTCAGAAAGCAGCAGGGGAAACACATTCCCGCCGTGTCTGAGTCACCACACCACCTCCTCCTCCTCGGACAAAGACCTCAGGGGGACACACTTGAAACCTGGTGAGGGCAGCTGCCTCTGGAGAAAGGACCCTGGCCAGGGCAGACTGGTGAGGGCCTCCGGGACTCTGTGACACAGCAGGGAAGCAGTCCCTGGGGACGAGCAACCTGGGTGTGTAAAACTGCGTATCCAAGACTAAAAGGCCTAGAAAGGTAGATAACGGCAGTAAAAGGTTCCTTCTAGAAGTGCTTTGTCTGAGCAAATGGGTGTAGATGCAGACAGTGGGATACACTATTTTCACTTTCTTGGTTTATTTTTAACTTCTAAAAACAATCAGACACCACCGAAAACAAGAACGTTACTTCCTTTTTCAGTGGAATTATTGTAAAGCACATTATTCTGAGTATTCGAGAAAACCTTTTGAAACCCAGTGAGTCCCACTGTGCCCATGCAGATAAAATGATACGAACAGTGCTCACTCCATCAACAGCTTCTCTGTCTTCTGCACCCAAGCTATCTGGAACACGGCTCAATAAAGAGAAAACTTCTGAGCCAGGCACAGTGGTGCACGCCTGAAATCCCAACACTTGGGAGGCTGAGGCAAGAAGACTGCTGTGAGTTTGAGGCCACCCTAGGGGACATAGTGAGTTCACGGCCAGCCCGAACTACAGCATGAGCCTGTCTCAGAACACCAAAAATAAATGGGGGTACATCCACACGATGGACACCATTCTGCCATGAAACAAAATAAACTACACATGGCTACAGCACGGAGGAACTGTGAAAGCACTAAGCCCAGTGAAAGAGATCAGACGGAAAAGGCGCATGACGTATGCTCCCGTGACGGCACCCAGAACAAGCGCAGCCCAAAGAAACCGCAGCAGCGGTTGCGGGGCTGGCGGACAGGCCGCCCCGGCCGATGAAGATGATCTGAACTCGTGGTGACAGCCGCGCGGCCTTGTCGCTCACTGAAAGCTGGTGCGCTGCACACCTTACAATGCGCAAAGCTAGGGTTTACATCTAACTTTTCCCAAGAGAGGGGCCTACAATAAGCACTCCGCATGAGAAGTAGGGGCGCGTTCTTGGGGAGGGAAGGGCAGGCTCCCCGTGTGACAGGGCCACGCCCAGAAGACAGGCACTTCTGCCACACAGCCACGCGCGGGGCCCAAGGACACGGGGTGCGCGCCTCGTCCCTGCGTCCTGGGGGCAGCCCACCCAGCGGGCGGGCGCGGCCTCACCAGTGTGCAGAGGCGCGGCCCGCGCCCCCGCCGGCACTACGGACGGCAGCTGTCGGGGCAGGCCTCCCTTCCCGTTTCCCAAGAACGCCTTCACTCACACCCTGCAGCGGAACGTTCGGGGGCAGTGCGGCCGATGCGAGCTAATGCTCCTTTCATCCTAGCCACCGACAGTCAGTGCTAGGAGGCAAGGGCCAAGGAACGGGGGGGCCGGAGAAGCAGCAAACCTGTGCAGGGAGGACGTCTACACACAAGCTCTGAAGGCACGCAAGCATTCCCCACAGGTTATGCTCTCAACCCACGCGCTGAAAAGAATTTGTAAATCAGTATGAAGACTTACTGCGTAAGGCTACTGCGGAAAGAGTAACTCATCGCTGAATTTCAGACTAAGTTCATCTCAACCTGAAGAGAAACACCATTCCTTCCCATCTTTTCCCGTAAAACTTAACACTTATAACCACTTACATTTGCCTTATGCCCCTTAAGACTCTAAAACAACTGGCAAACTTCCTCATCAAAGAGCCAGGCATAAGTACTTCCAGGCACAGCAAGCCACGCAGCCGTCACACCCTCTTCCTCCATTCTTTGAACAGCACACTACAAATGTAAACATCATCTCTGCGACTATCCAGCTCAGCTTGCCAGCCGTCCGCTCCACCACTGGCAGAGGATGAACCATGCTGAGACAGACCTGCAGTTACCTACACGCTGCACCTTTTGCACCCAGGATGTGAAGATGAAGACAGACAATCTCAACGAGCGAGCCTCCTTACCTAAGGACTGGAAGAACACCGAGTACCGACACTCGTAGAGCGAGAACAGATACTGCCGCACGGCGGGGAGGCTGTGCAGCACTTCCAGGATCTCTGCGCCTTTAATCACCTGCAGGTTTGTTAAAAAACAATACAATGTGAGTCACTCACAGGTTATACAGTGTGTGATTTCTCTACGGACACAACAAAAATAAAGAGCAAAGTCAAAGACCCATGTTAAGAAACAGGCGGACTGAAGAGACGGGGGATGCGATCAAGATGCAGTATGTGTATGCACCAATCCCCAAAACTTATCTAGTAAATGTTCTAAAGCCGAGTACTTTCTAAACAATACAGTAAATCAACTTACACTCCGATGACTGTGTGTGAGGCTGAAGCGCGGAGCACCCTGTAACTGAATCGTAAGGGCTCGACTGTTACCTTTTCCCTGAGATCAGGTCTCTCCAAGGCAATCATGCTGACGTAGACAGTGTAAGTCACAAATGTTTTGTAGTCCATGAGTTCATAGGATGTAAAGGTTGAAACAGTGTCCAGGAAGAGCTCAGCTGCCTGTTTGAAGTCTCGGATAGCCACGCAGTACAGACCCTGGTACACTTTCAGGCGGTTCCTCCTGTCCCAGTCTCCTCCTTCCTCTATTAAGCTATGAAATAAACATAATACACTCACAACAGGGAACAGACAATGCTACTAAGTTTTTAGCAACTTCAGCAATGAAGTATTTCACTGAACAACGTCAATTATCTGACCAACCTTAGGAGCTGTGAGCAAGAGAAAACGGGGAAATCAGCCTCCCACTGACAGTACCGTGTAAGTCCCCACTACGAAAAAATACCTTTTGGCCTTTTCTGTGTTCCGTGTGATGAGATCGTTATCCATATAAAACAGACCAATCCTAAGCAGATAGAATACAATATCCAGCCGGTGACCCAGGGCCACGGTTTTGTCGTAGGTCTTTCGAAAGGCGGTCAGAGCGCCCTCCTGTCAAGAGTGAAGCAAACAGGTGAAGTCCACAAGACGCCTGTGTGGGGTTGTCCTCGAAGAGCTGGGAGAGCGGCGGTGGAGACACAACAGGATGGCCATGAACTGGTGATTGTTCTTTCCGCTTGTTAAGGAAATGCCTGGCGTTTGCTTAGTCTAAGAAACCATATGAGAAAAACACTAATAATTTACTTACACTTGTAAAGTAGTACTTCGTCTCATATACTCAATGTTTTTTAGAATACCTTACTTCCAAATTTTATTGTAAGTTATCAATTATTGTCATTTTAAAAGTAAAGGGAAATCTTATCTCAGTCCCTGATTCTTAGACAGTAACTAATTATGTAAACGTACATTTTCAACTCAGCGCACAACGGAATAAAAGGATCCTAGTGTTTACTACCGAACATGAATAAAATTGCTTGTTTACATTTGCGACTTTCCAGAAGCTGTCTTTTTTTTTTTTTTTGAGACAGATTCTCCCTGTGTAATCCAGGCTGGCTAGGAACTCAAGATCCTCCTGCCTCAGGCTCCTGAGTGCTGGGATCTGTGTCACTGTACCAACTTTGGTTCATTTTATGAATTAGTTACGCTTGAGATCGAGAGATAGAAGTACTACTCTCCACTAACAGAAACCAGCGACTGTTAACAGGTGAGCCTGTGGTCCTGTATACAAAAATACACAGGATCTGTAAGATCCTGTCAAAAAGACAAACTGTCTTGAAGAAGCTTCTGCTAACAAGCTTGCAACATCTGCAACAAAGAATAAACTACAAGCGATAATAACACAATAATGAAAACCCAAAACATTCTAGTAGGTATTCCGTAACTTCTTTTCAAAAGAGTAAATAGGAGGGGAAAAAAAGGATCATTCTTTTTGGAAGAGTGTTACTTAACCACTTACCAATCTAATTATTTAAATACAGAATGATCAAAAATTGCATATTTTCATTAATTCTTACAACAAGAAATATAAAAACAGCTTTATCAGATTTATTCAATATAAGAACCAACTGGTTGAAATGACACCTGCCCAAGTGGTACTCAGGATAGTCAGCACGTGAACAACCCGACTCCAAGCGCTGGCGGGGTAAGCTGTCAGGTGGTTAATAAGCCTAGAAGGAACCAGGGTCAAACAGCACCCTTTGCAGCTCCCTGAGGGTGACCCGAGCATATCCTTTGTGAAATGTAAGGCCTAAATTAAAAACCTGGAGTTTGTCATCTACATATGATTCCTTACTCTTTTTTTTTTTTTCTTTTTGTGTTTTTCTCTGGTACCGGGAACCGAACTCACGACCTTGCGCTTGCCAGGCAGGCGCTTTTGCCGCTGAGCTAAATCCCCAGCCCCATGATTCCTTACTCTTGAAACCAAAGGACACACCCATGTACAGCCTAAAAAGTACATTAAAACTAGTAATTTCACTTTCCCACATTTTCCAAATCTTCACAATGACCAAGTCATAAATTTATAATTACAGAAAAAAAGTTTTAAATTTAAATAGTAACATTTAAGCACTTACTTGCCTTTATCTTTGTCAGCAGTAAGTAGAAACTACCATTATCTGTTTGACAGAGGAGGAAATTGAAGGTTCTGCAAATCACAATTACTCACGCTGGAAATAAAAATCAGGTAATCTGATCCAAAAGCTTATACTATTTCATTTTGTATACTGACACAAGATCTTCCTACATCTAAATACTTAGGGATATACTATTTAAAACCTAGCCTCTTAAATGATTACACAACTAACTACTAAGTTAAAAATTTTAAAGACCCAGGACTCCCAGCACACAGGAAGCAGAGGCAGGACGGTCACCATGAGTTTGAGGCCAGCCTGGGCTATATAGCAAGACCCTGTCACAGACAAAAACTCCAGGACTGGCAAATGCCATACAAAAACAGCATAGTAAGACTGAAGCTACTCAGCGTCCTAGCAGTTTCACTTCATAGGTTAATCAGCACCCTAGAAAAGCACCAGCACATGCACACCAGGAGACGTGCCCAAGCATTTTTTGCAGCAGTAGCAGCAGCTAAAACCAAAACAGCCGAAACAACGTTCGTATCCATCAATACCTGGACAAACTATTGAACACATACACCGCACACACACATACTATGCAAGGCATCGTCTACACTGGAGTATCAGGCAGCAGTTCACCAGAATGAGCAAGGTTTTCCTAGGATGACACGGAAAGTCTGCTCAGATATAAAGCCCAGTGTGCACGATAAACAGGACGACCTGAGAACTTTCAGGTCGCAGGTATGTTTCCAAAATGTTTTTAAATACCACCCACTCTCTACAGAGCATATACACATACATAAAAGCACAATCAAGGAACTAGTGAGGTAACCCTCAGCGATGTAGGGAGTAAAGAAAGATCAACATCTGCTGTTTTCGTTGCTTAAAAGGAGGCTCCTCCTCGTGTAAGTTTTTAAAATGCACCACACCGAGAGCTTCCCAACAAGGGGTGCAGAAGGGTCATTCTTTTTGGAAGAGGACGATCCCAGTGTGAAAGCAGGAAGCGACTAACACTCTGCCCGTGCGGTCCTGCTTTGAGAGATGGAGAAGGACTCCAACCCGGCCGTGGCCTGGGGCGGGGTCGGCGCTTCCAGACTGCCAGCAGTTACTTCTTGTTCTTCCGTGCGGGACTCGCTGGCCCAGGCGGGCGCGGTTACCCTCGGGGAGACCCCGCTCACCTTGTCACCTATCCGGCACAGGTACTCGGCCTTCGCCATCATCGCATCGCGAATCTCGCTCTCCCCAAGGTTTTTCTCTGCGTCTTCCAGCTCCTCGTCCAAGCGTTTCAGCTCCTCTTCGTTCGCCTTCTTCATCTTGTTGACGAGGTCCACGTCCACCTGCCAGTCCAGGGCCTTGCACAAGGCTTCGTAGTAAGGAGCCATGTCTGAGAGCCAGGAGCAGGGATGTCGGAGGAGGGCGCGCGAAGCCCGGAGCCCGCGCCGCGGCCTTCCCGCCTCCCCCGCAGACCCCGCCCCCGTCCCGGGGACCCCGACCCCCGCAGACCCCGCCCCCGTCCCGGGGACCCCGA